GAGAGGTGACACCATTTATACCTTGAATCTGACTTTTATTCAATTATCAGCCATACCAATAAACATGGTATATTGCTTGTTTTAACAAGTAAGGGGGATTGATTTTTACTACCGTTTGAAACAAGAAGTTAAGCCACCAGGAGAACCAAATAAACATTTAATTATTATCACAATCCGTCTCAACGTCAAGGCAACCGCCTGTTTCGTTGGGGTGTTTTGGACAAGTCGTTACAGTGAGAACACGAGTTGTTCGATAATTTTACATTTAACACCTCACACATTTTGCTTCATGGCTTCGTTTCAGATTTCCAAAGAGGTTCGATTAAAAAAATAATATGAGATATGCGGTTAGTCTCGGTTAGTCTTTCTTCAAACTTTTGACATTAAAAAAAAATACAATGTCACAGAAGCAATTCATTTCCAAACATTTCAAAGGTATGGAGGCTACTTCATATTATGTTTTCGTCTACAGCAAATATTCCATGACTGTCATTGCAACCGGATCACTCGTTAGGCATGAAGATGAAAAAGTTACATAATGTGTCTATACCAGTTAATCTTTAGGGTTTTCATCCTTTCCCCGCAAAGTCATGACAAGCAACTAGTATGGCATCTTTTTCCATAACAAGTATCTGTAAATTGACACTATCATTCAACGTACAAGATAGGAATAGCAAAACATAACCCGTCTACTTGAGAAATCAAGTACCCCTTTTGCCGATTAGCACGAGGACTTTGTCACAAGTTCCGGAGACCTTTTGGTGCATAATGTCCCAAAGGCATGCCTCAGCTCTTAGCTGGGGACCTGTGGCAAACGTAGGACTCCCCCAGCGTTCATGATAAACGGTATAGTATCTTGGCAGATTACAGTAGAGATACATCGGGTCGCAGATTATGATTAAACAAGCACTTAATGATTAATATGTCGTTTGCAATCTGGAGTCCATTGTTTCATTCATGTGTCAAGTTGTCATATTAAGAGGTTTGGAGGATGGTAAATGGGATGAGTCAAATTGCAAGTTTATCACGTAGTTTTATTGTTTTGGTACACGCAGGAAAACTTCCGTTTTAAATCTAGACTTGTATGTTTTAACACAATCAGCTCAACAAACACAATATGTCGTTTAAATGTTACGAAACAATTATAAAAAAACAACATTGTTTTTCACTTACAAAGCGATGACAGTTTTTATATGTAAGCTACGATTTATGCATTTTTTCTATAAAATCATATAATTTTACATGAATTTTTTTCGAGATTAATGTTTACTGGTTAATTAGTCCAAAACTGTTTTGTTTTTCTATAACCAAATGGAATGAACACTTCGAACAATTATCTCTACCGTCTAAATATATTACGGCACTGTATGTGATCACATTCGTGCTTCATGAATTTCACCTTCTCATTGATCTTAAAGCAAACGTAAAATCTAATATGCCAGTGATAGAATTTGTATATGTTTGATGTACGACCAGTATGGGTGACATTAACCCCCCTTCTTTAATTTATGTTAAGACTTGTCGATCTGCTGTAGCCTACTGAATAGCACAAAACTAATCAACACAAAAATCATGCATAGAAGACTATCAAAATATCTCATCAGCCACTTTTACTTCCCTTCCTGTAGATTTGAAATTATTTTTATTATATGTTCTTTATTTATGAATTCCAGACTTTACGGTACCAAGTGCAATAGATGTCGACAGCCGATCCCTCCTAACGGTCTAGTAATGCGCGCGCTGGACCACGTGTACCACATGCAATGTTTTATTTGTGTCGTCTGCGGACATCAGTTACAAAAAGGAGAGCAATTTGTAATGAAGGATGGGCAGTTGCTTTGCAGGCTGGATTTTGAAAAGGAGTTTGCAATGTTACCTCTAAGCCCCAAAAGTAAGAAATGATTTTTCTCCAAATTGGTTGACGTAATGGTTACCATACATTTGTGATTGCGAGGCAATAGAGAGTATTTTTCATCTACTTCTTGAAAAAAGAGGTTAATTGTTTTCAGACTTCGTGAATGGGATAATGTTGATAAAATATCATTCATCTTTTTTATTTATTTATTTATTTATTTATTTATTTATTTATTTATTTATTTATTTGTTTGTTTATTTTTTCCATTTATTGTTTTACAAAGATCTAAAGCAAATTGGATGTCTTTAAATTTCAAGCACTCAGGCATTTATTGAGGATGAGGAACATTTTTATTCCAGGCGAAGAAGACAGTAGTTTAGAAGACAACGAGAGTGACAGTGGTACGACGAAGGGTCCGAAAAGACCTCGAACAATTCTCACTACAAGTCAGCGAAGAAAATTTAAAGCTTCCTTTGAGGTGAATCCTAAACCATGTCGTAAGGTGAGCTTTGTTGTTAACCATATCTTTAATCTAATAATGATTTAACTGACCATTCCTATGACATGCTAAAAATGTCACGAGTGCAAGTCAGAAAGAGTGAAACGTAATACAATATGCTCTCGGGGGAAAATAACACCAGAGTAAAATCTAAACCACAGTCCCACTGTTATGGATATTGTATTCAATGTTTTAATTCTCTTAAATTTGTCTGTTTATCTCGAAAAATCTCGTTCAGGTTCGAGAGTCCCTGGCGGCGGAAACAGGCCTGAGTGTCCGAGTCGTCCAAGTATGGTTTCAGAACCAAAGGGCCAAGGTAAGGAACTCAGCATCAAATACAGTGCCACCGGAATTTAGTCTTACTTACCATGCGGGTCCCTGCGGGTTTTTCATGCGGGCTTTCGAGTAGTGTTCACCTTTGCAATTTCCTATGCAGAAAGTTCTAACAATGTTCAACATGTAAAACGCGAAGCGTTCATTTTTTTAACCGATGAGTAGAAATGTTTGTTGTGAGTCCTTTTTTATTTTATTTTATTTTTTTGTTTGTTTGTTTCTTATTTATGCGATTTCTTACTACAATAGGTGAAAAAGATAGCACGGCGTCAAAACCAGGACTCAAGCGGTGGCGGCTTAGACTCCAAGGGAAATCAAAACAAATCTCAGAAAAGGAAATATAAAGATGAAGATGATCTCAATGGAACAGGTGAGATACAGTAGTCTTATTTAGCAGCTGTAACATCCAATTGATTTTGTCTCAATGGAAAATATTTTCTCTGGTCATTTGCCAAGTTTTGATGTATTATCCTCGTATTGGTGACTTTTCAACGGCATAAATTTCAAAGCGATGTGACGTACGATCATTTGGTAAGCAAAGGGGAAATAGTCATGGGTTGTACATTACACATGAGACTCTTTTCTTCTTTTTTCAGAAAACATGGGCAATATAAACGCCATGACGCCTGACCAAGCCAACATGCAAAGTAGGTTTTATATTCTGACCCCCTTCACTTTTTAGTTTCTTATCTATATTAGATTTTTAAAAAGCATTCAGACCACATACAAGAATGGTATCAAAAGAACAATCAATTATTATGCAATTATATGGTAGCTTAAGACTTGGACATAATATCGTTAGTATGTCCAAGTTTAAGACCAGTTTTAAAAAGGTTAGCTGGACAAAGATGTTTTAGAGTATACATGGGTTTACGGATTTGAAAATGGAGTATTCTTAAAATTGGTTTTATTTTAGATGTTCCTCCAATGGGCGACAATCCATATACCAACCACATGGGGGCTTACGACTCCCCGCCCGGTCATCAAGGTGATTGTCTTACTTTATACTAAAGTGTATATTTTGATTTGCTCAGTTGCTGTTGCAATAAATAAATATAATTGATAGAACTGGTCACCTGCGTAAAATAGACCTTCGAAATGGATCTCATACTATGAATTCAGTGTCCATGTGAAAAACTCCACTCCCATTTTATATTGTAATCTGGAAAATCATTCCATCTACTATGTTATTTTACTGTCAGTAATACATGTAGGTCCTGGCTTACAGACATTGAAATATTTGGATATTGGAGTGGTAGTAATTCTATCGTTGAAACATTCTTTATTGATTATGTTTTTTTATAAATTATGACAATTTTTTTCTCCTTTGTCACTGAAATCATTATGAAAGGATTGAGGTTGACAAAGGACATTAAAGAAAAAGTAGCACAGACTTTGTTTGATTGAGAATCAGTGACACGTTTCCTTGACACATGTTGAGTAAAATTGGAATATAACAAATAATTTGGAAATTGGTTTGAAATATGCTGAAATAAATGCGTTTGCTTCAGGTCCTATGTATACACCGAACTCATTGGGGGAAAGCATCTACAGTCCCGAGGCGCCAATATCAATGGAAAACAGTCTAGACAACCTAGATGAAATGCTATTGGCTGAGCAAGCACACGAACACCATGTTTTGACCAGTAGGAATGGGGGACTCATAAACCCCATTGACAAACTTTACTCGATGCAGGATTCTTATTTTAGTCATTAACTTGAATGGTGATTGTGTTAATGTGAAAATTGAAAACGTTTTTGTTTGAAACAATTTTGCCAAGCACATGCACGCTTACGTCATGAACGACCCCTTTACGGTGATATTTTAGACGAAGTTTTAACTGACCCGTTTTTATATTAGCATCATTGTGACACTTGCCTCAAATTCAAAATAATGTGTTAAGACCTAAGTTATTGCTGTTTCTGTTGTTATTAGTGCATTACGCTAATTATGTAACAACAGCTTAAAGCATAAATAGATGTAACAGAATGCGTCCATGCTTTGTTTATATGTTTTACATTTATTCCTTGATATTTAAAGTAGGTGTTTTGTACTAACCCTTATTTTTGTATATCGTGATATCTGGTATATCAGAAAAGATATAACTCTTTCAGTAATGATGCTTTTATATTAGCTGTATTTTATTTGTAAAATGTGGGTTATATTTTTATCAAATATTTTTGCATGTTATCATTTACTCGCGATCGTCCAAGTGTTAATTGAAAAGTCCAAAACCATAAGGAGTTCCAAACATGTATATTGCCAAAGTACGCGTCACTTCATTAAAGCGATAAATACGTAATGAGGGGCTCCACATTATTTATAGTATACAGATGACAGATTTATCCTCTTAAATATGTGCTTAGCACGTAAGACGCCCCGAGACGTGCAGTTGTGGGTGCCCTATTTCTTAAGATATTTAAACCAAACTGCAAGGAATGTCTTTTGGTACCTATGTGAAAGACTGTGCGATCAATCCCTATACAATGTTATTTACATGTTGAACAGTATAGATTTGCACTTTGCCCTATGTGTTTTCAGATGATTTGCTTTAAACCAATACAAAACCCTGTGCTAAATCCAAGAAAAGATGTACCGAACAACAACGCCATATTTCGATATCTTTTTCAGATAGATTGATACATATTTCTGAGTAAATATGACGGCAATTAATACGTATTTACTACTGCATCGGGAAATTCATATGAAATGCCGGTAGTTTTAGTGCAATGTTTCCTTTACATAATAAACGCAAGACGAGCGTGCAATGTTATATACTTGAGATTCATTTACCAAATACCTTTTCAACATATTGTGTTCCTCATAAATAGATTGGTAGCTGTGTATGGATTTACTTTTTAAGTCAGTCCTCGTTTCCCATTAAAATGAAAACTTCACATCAAGCAATGCCCCTGTGCTGGTATAGAAATGTAATGTTGTCAGTCATTTTTAGGAAAATGCTTTGGAACGAAATGTTATCCAATACGATTTTTTTTATAAAATTTGTGTGAACTCGTCGCCATATTCATTGTATATTCACTGTAAGCTACTGTGGTGTAATATGTAAATAATATGTATTAATTTCACAGCTGACTTGTTGTTGTTTTATTCATTATATTGGCCTATATATTCGTGTATCGAATACAAAAATTGAATATAAAAACAAGTACAGTGAAAAACTGGCATTGCTTTCGAATTTATTCAACTTTAATTTTCATAAATGTAACTACAAGCGCATTTGTTACAGCTAAACAAGAATCTTTTCAAAATTCACACGAAAACCCTTTCTTCATCTAAGCCTTAATTCAACACACGGCATAATTTCAAGTTTTTCCAATTAGATTTTTAAGTTTTTCTAATTTCAACCTTATTTAGTGATATAAGTTATTCGATAAACGGATTCCACTTTACTGAACTAATCAATCACTTAGTTGTTTAAACTCAACAGCATGTCTTTAAGCTCATCCCTACATGACCGGTGTTACGTGACAAAGAGTCCCCTGTAATAGAGAGTCTGCTTCCCTTTCATTTATACAGGTAAGCGTCGCCCTATATTTTGACCCACTTAAACCAGGCTAACCCTAACCATTATAACTAAATGGAGGGCGAACTTTCTGTTATAAGGACTCGCAGTTTCGTTACACCGGCATTCAGAAAACAATACGTGGTGACGGGTCTTGAAATCCAAAGCAGTTTGAAATCCAGGCAATGGCAATGCAGCTTTCAGTCGGAGCATCCGTTCGCATCACACATGTACATTCATGTATATACACAACATAAACACTACTTTTTTTTTACTTAAAGTGAATTGCCTTACATATTTCAACAATTTTGTTCTAACAATTTAATCGATCTAGTAAAACAAACAAAAGTTCAAGAGACCTAAGTTACTTTTAAGCTATGGTCGCAAATAAGCTATTCCGAATAGATGAGACCAAATACTATCTGGTAATGCCAATATAATGAAGACATAGAACGTTGACTATAACACATAAAAACAATGCTCTTAAGGAACTACAACTAAAGAACTTATTTTCAGCGAAACCAAAATGCATTTAGGCTCAGTCCCCGTGGTCCTTTTTACGTTGAGCGGTACACTTTTCTGTATAGCACTAGTTTGACTGCTCTTAATGCGTAATTGCGCTGCCAAGTTTTTTTGTCTTTTTTTGTCTCTTTGACAAGCCACAATGTTACAATCATGATCAAAATTATTCCGGTAACGCGGCCATATCGAGTGCAGGGTTCCGTTAAACTGGCTCTCTTACGAAAAACACAGGCGTCAAAATTGATAATCTCTTAGAGTGGCGCCATACAGAAAAGAGCACATCTCAGTGTTAACTGTTAATAATACTGACATATTTTAACCAATCAAACTGCCAGACTTGATGTTACAGTCTTTACCTGTGTAGCCAGGGTCACAGTCACATTTATAATCGTTAACCAAGTCAATACATGTGCCATACCAGCATGGGTAGCTGTCGCACTCGTCTTCCTCAGTCTCACACTTTGTCCCGATGAAACCAGCTTGGCAGCGACACACGTGACCGTCACTGCTACTGTAGTCACAGCTACCTCCGTTCTGACACAGGCATTGCTCACAGCGGGTCCCATGCCACATTTTTTGGCATGTGCACTGGAAGGTCCCATCGAGCTGTGTGGTACAGCCTATGCTGTGAAGACAGGGGGAACTGGCGCAAGGGTCGACGCGATTTTGGCAGTGGTTTCCCGTGTGGGTGGCCGGACAGGTGCAGTTGTAGCCCCCAAGCTTCGGAGCGCACGTGGACCCATGCTGACATGGGTTGGACTGACAGAAATCGATTTGGGTCCCACAATACTTGCCAGTGTAAAAAGGA